TAAGCATTTGACGGAAAGTGAGCGATAGAAAAGGAAAAACATTGACGAAAAATCGCAATCTTATACTCCTCAGTAAACTCGATAGGGGCTCAGTCTGACAGGGACTTAAGTTCTTTATGAGCCAGTTAATCAAGATAGATAATCCTTCTAGCCATGAGAACATATTTAATAGAGGAGCCTTAGAAGAGTTTCAGCAGGCGGTTACCAACCTTAAGTTTCACCTAAACAGACCAGTTCACTGCTGAGATCACAAGCACGTGCAGAGGAAGAATTCATGTCAACTAGAATGTCATTTTCAGCCAAAAAAGTTCAACATGAAACCAGGATCCCAAAAATAAGATTAGAGATGTTACCATACAATATATAAGTATTACAGAAAACATATCTTACAATCACAGGCGGGAGTCAAATATGAAGGCAGTGTTAAAGCTATCAGGTTTTCTCGTGAATTCAATTTTCAGCAGTTGAATAATCAGTATGTAGGCTAAGACCCACAGTTTTAACCTACTACAACTTCAAAAATTAACCAAGTTCATCTATTAGGCAAACTAAGTGATATGCTCCCTTGATCACTAAATCATTTTAACCAAGAACAGAATGCACAAAGAGCAACACTCAAATTTAAGAAGACAAAACCATGCATACCTGGGATTTTTATCACTCCAATTCCATCACTAAAAGAAGGGATCATTGCTATCTCTGCTGCTGCATCGAGGCAACTGTTCTCAGGTTGACATAATAAAAGTATAAGGATTACAGTGACACAACAAAGGACAAATTATTCTAATAAGTCCCATTCAATTAGATGTAAATACTTCTGTAAATGTCTCTCCCAGTACATCTGCTGCCAATCATCTCTTAGTTCATGCTTTGCTTCAAATTGTTTTGCCAACCAACTAATTGAATGAATCTGAGCACCACAATCACCCCAACGCACCTCATACAGCTTCTTCCATGCTCCCTCAAAGTTCAACCATCTGCCAGGTAATGCATATGCTGTGAGACTGGCAAACTTCTACTTATTCTTAATCATTTTTATAGCTCTATTCTGAACATCCCTATAATTCAAAATACACATGCAAAATATTATTTAGATAGATCTACAACCAAATCTTTCTTCCAGACCTCTTACGCTTCCTTTGACTTCCAGAATTTTCATCCTGAGGTCCACTAATGCTGCATTCGTGGGATGGCCTGCACAAAAGGACTCATATTCTTGTCATGACATAAGTCGTCTCTTTGCATAACCGCTCACCAAGAACAAATGCAAACCAGGAAGAGCTGAGGTAAATTTTCCATCATTTATCAGCTTGCCAGAATAAGTGGTGACACCATCTAACTGTTTTACAGCAGCTACAACCATATTCTATTAGAATTATACTTTTAATACATGACCAGAACTCAAATGAACAAGACACGACTGAAATAATAAATTTTCTCCAAAATTTCCAGAAAATTCATTCTTGGTTCTCGAGCATTTGCTTCATTTGAATCATCGTCACAAAGCCCTTATTTGATTTCTTGCAGTAATAAATAAATTTCATTAACCTACATAAGCACCGCTTATGCCATGATCCCGTCCCCGCAACGTGTCTAAACAAAATAGAAAAGGCAACTATTGAAAGCCCCTTTGAGTGATTTGGTTTCACCTCCCCCCAGCCCTTCCCAACCCAAAAAACCCCCCAACAAATTTGCTTTCTACCCTTTCCTACCAGGACAGTTAAAAAATCTGAAAATTTCGAAATTTACACTTCGCAAATTCAAAACTGACAAATACATTAACTCATTCGCATAAAAACACAAATACATCGAATGCTGCTGCTACAACTATTACACATATCATCAAATTCAGGCTATACACACAAAACAAATAGTAGAATTAGGAATTTAGAAACATATACTGACATGTTTCTGTGTAAATTTTCCAAAGCCAAAGGAGTGAGGCCCGGCAACATCGAATCGAATAGTTCAGGTGGAATTTTATACAGAATTGCCAGAAATTCATCATCACAACCTCCTGAAATGCAGAATTAATTTATATAAAACAAATTAGAGAAAAAAATTCTCATTGCTGAACTGAAATTTTCATCGATTATTCAAACTATGATGAAGAAAGCTGATTACCGCGTAAAAGTTCATCGACAATTAAATTCAGGCATAGACTAAGCAGAGATGGAGCTTCCGCCATTTCTTCTCAGTGAGTAGGCTACTATTTTGAAACATACGACACCGTTGGAGCTTTTCTGCTTTCTGGAGGCCTTTTTCATTTTGATTTCCATTTTTGGTGACAGCAGAATTTACATATTTGGTCCCTTAAAACTATGAGGTTATCAGTTTAGCATATTCAACTTTTGGATTTGGAATTTCTCCTAGCTAGTTAAAGTGACTGAATTTTTCTGCAATTCAGTCCACCAATGAGGGATTTATGGAATAAAACTTAATGGGTTAACACTTAAACAACCATCAATTCAACATTTGCTAAGAAAAATTTGTGCTTATGTACACATCAATTTGTATTTTTTTTGGGTAAATTACGATTTATCTCCCTATGATTTAGTTTTTTTACATAACATTCCCATGGTTTCACAAGTTATACATAACCTCCTCGTGGTTTGAATTAAAATATCAAAATGACGGAAATGATCATTCATAACGGAGTCACCTAAAATGTCAAAAAATACTTTTATGTAAAGTTGAAAATTATTTATTAACTAAGAAATGTTATGTGTATATTTTGAAAACCATAAGGGGGTTATATGGTAAAACATTAAATCATACGGGTTAGTGTATTAGTATGTATTTATAAGGGTAATTTCGATATTTTTAAAAGTCTCGTTACAAATGACCATGATATTTTTGTAAGACACTTTAATATAAACCATGATAGGATTATTTATAATTTTTGAAATTATAGGGAGATTATGTAAAAAAAAATACTAAACTACAGCAGGACAAAGTATAATTTGCCCTCTTTTTTTAGATTTTTCCGGTGAGTGCACAAACGTCAATAGATAAAACACATTTTATTTTTCCATCCATAGCATAAACACTTGTATCGGTTGGCTCTTCACGTTTACGCGCGCCTTTCTTTTGACTATGTTCATATCGTGTATTTGTGCTGAACAGTAGTAATTGCATTGCTGAGACTCGTCTCATTTCTGCAAGTACTTATATATTGGTGGTGTTGCTTTATACAAAGAACGTCAGTTTTATTGGTGGTATTGCTGAGACTCCTCAGTTTTATATAAAATCAAATGCTTCAAAATCAGAAGAAACTATTTATTTTAAAGCTTTCTTTGGCAATTTTTTACCCCCGCAACGATAACAATTGTATAACTTATTCTATTCTAATCTATTGAGGAGGAGAGTCAAAAGAAACTTGTGTGTTAGGGACTAATAGGTATACAGACTTGACTAGATCAAGGGGGGTGTTATAACACCACTCTTGGATTTTTTTCGCTACAAATGAAGTCTAAGAGACTTGTGTGTGTGTAGGGACTAGTAGGTATACAAATTTGACTAGATTAAGGAGGTGCTATGGCACCACCATTGAATTTTTTTCGCTACAAATGGAGCCTAAGGAGACTTGTGTGTTAGGGACTAGTAGATATACAGATTATACCAAAAAGATGTTATGACACCACCCTTGATTTTTTTTTGCTACGGTTGTGGTTTAAACCCCGACCCAAAGCTCATCAAGAGGGACTTAAGTCCTCCCTGATGGCCAGGGAACTGGAGTGTTTATTTGGCAATTGATATTGTACCAAAATAGAAAGGGGGAAGAGAAACAGTTTGGTCCTCTTTCGGGCCAAGATCACGACCTGTGTCCGCAGAACAGAGAAGGATGCCATAATTTCTACTATACTCGCATTTAGTAGCTAACTGAAAACTCCCAAACTCGTACCACTATTAGGGGTCCATATCCCCACAATTTAAGTGCAAGAAAGCATTCTTTTTTACCAAAAAAGAAAGTTTATTCCTCCTTTTTTTTCTTTTCTTTTTCCGTTCTTCTGATTATTCATGAGCTACAGCTGATCAATTCACTGTAGTTTTTGTCCATATGCCATGATTTGGTGCACAAACTTGGTCATTGGGAGCCATATTGGTGTCACCAGATGGCAAGAAAACGTTAATTATTGAGAACTTTGAACGGTACACTTGACTTTATTCTTCTTGGTGGCAATAAGGACATGAGGCAGACAATTGACTTTTCACAAATTCTGCAAAACGAAGTTTCCTAGCATCTCCTCTTGTAAATTACACAAATTACTCAGACAAATTATAAGTACAGAAATAAGGGGTTTTAAACGGTACAAAAGTAGGAGAAGGCCGGATAAAATGGTAACGTAAGAGGTATTATAAATAAATAGGAGATCATAAATTCAAAATTTTTCGATCGAAAAAAAAAAAGAGAGTGCAAAAGTAAGATATGCTATTTCATACATTTATCGCCCCTTTACATTATCTGCTCCTACTTTTTGATGGCCTTAAAGCAATCTTGGACATTGTCGTCATCCTTAAAAGTTCAGATTCCAGGATCAGATCCCTTTCTGAAAAAGCACACTTTCCTGATGCCCAAAAACAAAAAAAGCTTTATTTCCCAAAAGAAAATCTAATTCTTCTGTGTTGTTAACTTTTTACCAGCATACATATGCAATTTTTCTTGTCACAGGCTTGGAACATAATAAGGAAAATGACCAATACCGTTGACAAATCCCTCTCTCTCTCTCCCCTTTTTTCTTTTTTTTTTTTTGGGTGGCTGCTTCCAAAAATGCATGTGCTGATACACATGATGGAAGCCTTTTCCAGCAAATGGTGGAGCCATGAACTATAGGAAAAGTGCAGAACTTTGTTGGGACTTGGGACCCCATGCCAACTTATATTGTTGAAATCCTTGTACACTGTCCAACATTTGCCTCAGCTTAAGATTGCAAATTCAAAATCAAAACAATTTAGTAACGTTAACTTGTTGAATTACACCCAAAAAAAAAAACAAGAAGAAGAAGAAAATGTATGATTGAAAATCTTATTCAATAGATTAAAGTAAAAAACACGGTGCTTCTTCTCAGACGTCTGTCTACACCAGATGTCAAAACAGATGCCAATTGTCCTACAATTGCACATGCTGCTTTCGTCAATGTAAAATGGTTCTTGTAGTTTCTCTCTTTGCTTGTTCTACCAAAGAATGCAATTCACTTTTGTAAAGCACATAAAGATTATTAGATAAACCCATGCTCAACAGGATAATCACACTATCTAGCTAAGAAATTATTAGCAATAATTGTCATTCTCCCCCATTTGCTGCTTGAACTTTTTGTCACTTGCAAGATTGTTGCCTGAACCCAAATCTCTCATTCAGAAGATCATATTCCACGTTGTAATTTTGCATCTGAAAGCTGCCCAAAATGATTGATGGCCCTGTTGTCAGGGCCGGACCAATATTGTCTGTCACCATAGTCAGGCAAAGAACCTCATTACCACCAACAAATGAGAAGTAATTGGCTAATGGCAACTTCATCTCTGCACCTCCCTTGAAGCTGAACTTCAGCTCAGGCAACACTATGGAATCATGCCCAGAAAGATTGAAACATGGCCTTAAACCTGTTAAGGACTCGATATTTTCTGCTCTTCTGTATAGTTTCACTTGTTTTATGAATTCACCGGCCACAACTTCAAAAACAGGTGAACTCATAAAGGTAAGCGTTGAGCCTGAATCGACTATAGTTCCACCACTGCCATCAGAATCAGGGGCTAAGTACTTGTATGGGATCTTTACTTTCTTCATTCCAACACTGATTCTCCTTAAACCGACATAGTAGTAAACCTGAAGTGCACTTTTCCCAGCCACAATTGGGTTTTTAGCCAACGGGGTGTAGCTAAAATTTTCAGTCTTTTTACCAGAATTGGAGTCACCATCCAACACCAAGAAGCCACTCTCGCCAGTGTCATCAAACCTGCGAGAGAGAAGACAATAAGAGAACTTCTTGAGGCCCAATTGGCTTGGCAATGAGGCAGGTCCCCTTCCAAAACCAGCTATTCCTGCTGGTTGTCTGGATGAGAAAAGAGAGCAGCCCACAAGAAAGTTTGGAACTTTCTTGTTAGGCAAATCCAGAGTTTCAACAATTGCTATTCCACCAGTTGAGCCTGAACCATAAAGAATAAGATAAGGTGGACAGATTTGAGTGCAGTTCTTTGCACTAAGCGATTGGCATTCGCCGCAACTTGTCTGAGGATCAAAGTTTGGATGAATCCAACTGCATTTCTTATTCAAGCATCCAACAATCTTAATTGATGATGATTGTTTAGGACTGAACGAAGTGATCTCCCGTGCGCCTGGAAATGAACAGTTTTTACATTGGTATCTTTTGGTACATGGAAACCAAAGAAAGTCACTACCAGTATCCATGACGAGGGAGATTGTCTGAGGTGGGGTGCCAAAACTGAGTGAAATTGAGTAGGCACCATAGCTGTGAGGCAGCAGAGGAGTAGTGCTGGTGAAGGCAGTACTGGATAGTTGAGGATTTTTTATGTGGTGGGCTCTGGCTAAGGAGGCTAAAGCTAGATGAGAAAGCTTTTGGTACAGATCTGCATATGAATCTGTGTTGGAAAATGAAAGAGGTATAGTTATTGGGGTGGGTGATGATGAGGAAATCTGCAGGGCTTGCAATAGAAAGACAAGAGAGAAAAAGGGGAGAAAGCAGGAAAAGAAAGACATCGTTCTTGAAGTTTGTGCCATGATTTGGAGATCAGAGAAGATAAACTAAACCAATAATACAACTACTACAAGACTGGTGTTGTATTAGTACTAGTAAGAGCTGTATTTTGTTGTCTCAAGTAAAGCACAAAAAAGGGCAATAAAGCTTAGGCTATTGGCTGATGACAAATGCCACAATGCTGCCTCTGAGGTTGCACAACTGTCCTCTTGCATGTGTTTTAGTGTTTGTAGCCACTGAATCTATATGCTAACCGCAAAGTTGAAAAGGGGGCTTAATGATAACGTCGGTGTGGTTGAAAATCTTGGGAACCTGCTGAAAAGCATTCAATGTTCACCAACTTAGGCATTTAGCCGTTGTAAATACTGTTCAAAATCAAGCAGTAACAATTCTAAAGACTCAAACCCCAATCCTGCACTTTGTTTTACATATTTAGGCTGAGAAGAAAATGAGAGTCAAGGGTTGAAGTCTGCTCTTTACATTTGGCCATACTGCATTTATAAAGTAGACATAAATATGCTTATGCTCAATATTAGTTTTTACTGAACTGATGAAAACTCAACTTCCATGCATACTTCTCTATCATGCCTAACTTCAACATCACGTTCATTAAAGCAGCAATTGATGCCGCAAGTGACTAACTTTGAACAGATTTGGCGATGAAGTTCTTGTCCGAAAGCGCAATGGGATAATGATTACCCAATTTAGAGATTTCTTAAGCTCATTGGTTTTGTTAGTTAATTTGTTTAGTTTGTCTATATTTGTGGCACTGGGGATATCTCTAGCCTATAGACTTTGGAGGGTCTCAGATAACTTTTCAAGATCGTTTCTTGGGGTATCGAAGATATAAGATTTAAAGGATTTGGTTGAATGTAACTCTCACATTAGCTGTGTATGCAAATTAAAAATGAATACTGTTGGAAGCATTGTGCGTTAGGTATAAGAGATTGTTTCACATGTGATTCCTCACATTGTTTGGCTGGTTTTGGCCATGGACCATGGTAAGTATTTATAGCAATTAAAACCCCAACAATACAAAACGGGATCTCTCACTTACGTTTCCTCCCCAAACCCGAACCACCTAATACAACCCTCCTCAAAAGGGGAAACACCAAACCCGACCCTCCTCAGAAGGGATACGGCTAATCAAACAATAGTTCTTGTTGCCTTTTGCCACCAGCTTTTCAGCCAAATTATGTACGAGGCATGATTAAAGGAACTAAAGTATGTGCTCATGTGTATCTTGACCTTGCAGACTGATCATACCTTGTGATTTGGATGATTCTTTTCTTTGCAGTTTGCAAGTTACAATGAGGATAGCTTCAACTCTAAGTTTATCCTTACCCCTTCCCAAGAAAAACAGTTGTTATAGTGAAATTCATAAATCTAGCGGCATGCATTGTGGTCATGCATAGAATGATAGAGGTGCTAAACACTTTTAGAAACTTTAAGGCAAAAGCACTAATGGCATGTGAAATTAACAAGCAGCATCAACAACTATCTATCTATGCAACAAATTGCTTCCGAAGTAGACAAACTGGTGCTTCACAAACGATCCCATGTATCTCTTCACCGGATATAGAAGACAAACAGGTAAAGGATCATAGGACCTTCCCGTTTGGATTGTTTTTATAGAAAAATGTACTGTAACTATTTGATGTATATGAGATAAAAAGATAATTAAAAAATGTGTTTATGAAAAACGTTAAAACTTTTCTTTAGAAAATAGCAACCCAAACAAGACAAAGAGAGAATTTAAACCATATCAACATATCTTGTACATGTGCCTCCTTAGTCACACAGCAGTGCCTGTGCAATTTTGCGTTAGTCACTGCTTGGTTTGGGCTGATTTACCTGTTAATAATGTTCTAAATATTGCTAAAGTTAATGAACATTTCTTGGCTTAGTAATTACATTTTCATTAGGTTCTTTTCCTTGACTCTTTTCCATTGTCTTCTCTTAATCCCACTTCCTTTGAGAAAACGCCCTACCTCAAGCCATTACTACCACTGCACAAGGCTTGCACACCTCCCAGCTAGCTAGCACCACTTTCCATTGTCCGCCTGTGCTTTTTTGTGGTGAATGTAGCCTTTAGCAAGAGTGTGGCCATCTTTTTCTCTGGGCAATAGTAGACAAGCTACTATTTCGTCTATAGTGCAAATTGCATCACACCAAAGCCCGTAACAATAGCCTAAAACATTTTATTATTGCTTGAGGTTGATGCCACGATGCCCATGCCACAATTGGTGTTGGACTATTGGGTACGGGAGCATGGGTTTAATACACATACACGTGAACTGTCAGTTTCAAGCCGAGCTGGGAAATGGAAACCTACAACCGTTGCTCTTTGTCTGCTACTACATGAGTTCTCAATTTTGTTCCCAGTTCATTCCTGTAGGGGATATGGGGACCCTTCACCTTGATTATTATGCAGTAAAAGAGCGTTGAACCAAAAACTCAGTACCTCTGTAATGGTATTTATTACAGCCTATAATGAGCAACATTGAATTGAAGTGGATAAAACTCAAAAGTTGCAAATTAAAGTGAAGTTAGCTATGCTAATCACTAATTTGTTTTTTATATGGCAAAGAATTAGTAGAAAAGATAAGGAAAAGTCTTATTCTACTCCTTTAATTACTGACACGATTCTACTCCCTTTAATTGGCCAAAAGAATCACCAAAGCAACTTATTTTTGATGAGTTCTTTATCGTTAGGGATGGCAATGGGGATGGGCATCCGCAGGTGCCCACCCCGCGGAGGGAGTAATGGGGCGGGGGATAGGGCAGGGCGGGGGCGGGTATGGAGGAATTTTTTCTCCCCCCATTTTTCTTCCCCCATTTTAAATGGGGGGAGAAAAAATTAATATAAATAAATTTTTTCTCCCCCGCTTCAATTTATTAATATAAATAAATATAATATATTGTATAATCTAATAATAATAAATTTAGAATATTTGACAATTAAACATAACCTATATCCCATTTCTATTCAAATTCCTAATTGATATTTGACACAAATATGTTATGCATTTTATGAGTATTCCCAAATATTATCTATACAATCCAATTAAGTTTCTTAATTTTCTTGGTGTTTTATTTCAACATTTTTCTTTTTTCACTTTTTCCAGTTTCGTATTTTGTTTTATTCTTTGAATTTAGTTTTGATCTATTGAATAAAAACTTCTTAAAAAAAATAAATTATCACCCACAAACACCTGCGGGAAAAGCAGGGTGGGGCGTGGGGGGAACGAGGCGGAAGTGGGGGGAGTTTTTTTTGGTAATGGGGTGGACCTGTTGCCATCCCTATTTATCGTTTTTGCATGGAGGACCAGTTGTTCTAAAATTGTCAAGTCTACACCATGCCCCGACAATATGCTTTTCTCTATCAAAGCTGGAAAACTAGGGCATTGTTTGGATTAAGGGAATGGGACGGAAAGTAAAAGGGAACAACGAGGGAGTTGGTCTTCTGTGTTTGATCAATATTTAAGGGGAAAGGGGAAATAATAAGGAGCAAAACGGAGAGAAACGGAAGGAATGATGAGCTCTTTTTAATATACTCTCTCTTCCTTCCCCTTTCCAAGCAATATATCTGTCTGTTTTCTTTTCCTTCCTCCTCTAATTGAATTAGCCTATCCTTCTTAACTTTCTTTTCAACTGGGGTAGCATCATTCCATTCCTTCAATCGCTACGATGTAACAACTCAATTAAATTGAATGAGTGACCAAGCTAATAGAGACAAAGTGACAATAAGAAGGTAATTTCAGCGCAGTTATTAGAAATAGCCATAGAGAATTATACAGTGGAGAAAAACAAGAGAGTGTAGTAAGAGACATGCACCGAACCAGAATACAGAGAATCAACAGGAAATGAGCTTCTTCTATCATGCCAGAAACATCCGGAATACCTAAAATAAATATATGGTTAATTAGTCTTTGCCATTTTTCTAGCCAGAAACCGTTCCTTTGCGGCAGTTAACGCGTCCTGATTTCTTTTATGATGGTTATCTCTTGGTTGTTCACTTACTGATGGTTCATCTTTGGCCTTTTCATGTTCGGAAGCTTCAGAAGAAGGATTGGCATCTCCATCGTTAGACTGTTCCCTTGGAGAACGTTGACTTTCATTTTCATGCCTCTTAATCTCCTTAGTTGACTCAGGTTCAGAGTTTGGCAAAGGAGGCACTTCTTCAGGTGATCTGTTTACAGGTTCGTCACTCTGCTTCTTGGGCTTTGTAAACTCGGCCTTACCCCCACCAAAAGCAACATTGTTTCCAAGGCTGAAGTAGAAGTCGGTCAAGTCTGTCTTTTTAGTAACCTGGAGCATTAATGAGTGACTTCAAGTTTACTGATATTGTCCAACAAACTTACAACAGAAAGTCAGAGAACAGGAAGATCAAGGCAGACTATGCACAATTGCTACAAAAATTGTTGTATTCAATTCATTCAACAGAAAGTATAACTCTGATGGTAGTGCATACAGACGACGTCAGTTAAGTTTACACTACATCATCAGGTATAGAGACTTGAGAGAGAGAATCAAAGACAAAACTTCAAATTACAATCAGCAAACTAACATCTCCAACCTAAAAAGACACTGTAAGTACCAATTAAGTGCAAGATTTTACTCCCAAGAAAGATAGCCACTTGAAAGTCTAGTCATGAAAAAATCATTTAGTAACAGCAGCCAAGAAAATATGCATGCTCAATACAGTACTCCTACAACCCTAGCGCCCTCACACCCCCAATGCCCCATGTACAACAAAACAAAAATAATAAAAGGAGGTATGCAGTAAGAAAAATCATTGAACTGGCACTAATCTACAGATTAGATAAGAATTGCAAGAAATGATATAATAAAATTAATGATCGCCATTTACTAGTGACATCCCGTATCCAGTAATGGGACATAAACATTAATTCACAATCTTAAGCGTGAACAAACAAAATAATGCCAAATGAAGAGTAATGGAAGTGTGGCTTACATCCTCTTTCTCTTCTCGCAGTTCCCGGAGACGCTCTTCCTCCATCCATTTAGCCTGCTCCGCAAGTTTCTTTTTATACGCAGATGTAACATATTTATCTTTGTCTGCATAGAGGTGGTCTTCTTGACTTCTCTCTTTAGCAAGTTTTCTCTCATAAACTACCTCATGTTCTCGTTCTCTTTGTTTTGCCTTTTCCATTAGTGTTGTAATATACTTAGGCTGCAACAAGAG